GTAAAGCCGGTTCTGTGATCAGTAGTAAATCTCCATCACGGCATTTAATACAAAGACCCGTAGATCACTGACAAGCTACGCAATATCGTGTTCATAATCACAGATGAATCGCATTCGATTATGAACGCGATATTGCGTAGCTCGTCAGTGTAAGTGTTTTAATTAATGGCATTAATGTTTTTGTTTTTTTAAATACAGCGTATAGCACTAGTCAACTAAATGTATGTAACATGGCAAAGATGAATGTAAGGTAAATGTAATTTTGGAATTTCTGTGGTCTAATGTGATATTGTTGTTCATGTTCTTGTTCATGATGAAATTTTATTTTATTGCTGTAATTAATTTATAGCATTAATAAGATGACCTGTTGAATTCTTTTTGGGAGAAATAACTGATTGAATGTATTTTCAATATGAAAAATAAATTTCATATTTTTGGGAGCGATGACTGATTGAATGTATTTTTAGTCCAGTGCCAATGATTAGTATTGACCAAGTTCAGAGGCCGTCATATGTGGATTAACCATGTTGTGTATTTTCAACAGTTTCAATATGAAAAATAACTTTTATATTGATTCAATTGATCTATTGCATTTTGAAAAAAAAAAAAAAGTAGTGTCATGTAGTGTTGTCAAAAGACCCGGTATTTCGGTACCAAGTCGGTACTAAAAAAATTAAAACGTTACGGTACCAGGTTTTTTTAAGCACCGGTGGTACCGAGTACCCGGTCAACCCGGTTCTTGATGCGCTATCAGAAAGCTATCCTCTTCCAGTGTTGCCAAGTCCGCGGTTTTCCCGCGGAATTGGGCTGCTTTAACACTGTTGCCGCGGGTTGTTTTTCATGTCCGCGGGTTGAAAAAAGACCCCATTAACGTGATATTTAGCCCCTGGAATGCACATTTTATCAGGGGAACCCTGCCAAAACATGCGTATTTTATCCTCGGAACGCGCTTTTTAATGGGGGACCCCCTCGAAACGCGATTGGGCGGGTTTTGTTGTGAAAACCTGGCAACCACTTCATAAAAGCAGTGAGGAGGAAACGCATCAAACTAACAAAACACCCCGATCAAGTTCAAGCAGGTAAGTTTCAATTACATTTGTAATATGTAGAGCTTCTGTTATGAATATTATTCCATATAGTTATTCATTAGCATAAGCGCGGCTAACGCTAATATAATGAGCATTAGAATGAATTTTGTTCATTTTGTTCAAAATGATTTCTTTGTATGATTTCTTTATTTAATGCTCCTATAACTTTTATTACTGTAAAAAACAGGAGGACATAATGGTATTTACTATTTACTAGCTTTTAAATGAACTGTGTAACCAAAATATGCGTGTTAGAGAATGTACAAATGTATGTTAACAGTGTTTGTCATATCAGTCCGTCAGAAAAA